GGGGGTTACTTTCCAGCTGAAAACACATTTCATAGACATGCAAAAAAATCCACATCAAGGTGTTTTATAGGCCAAATAGAGCACACACAAAGAAAAAAAAAAACAGTCCCATTGACAAGAAAGTACAAAGCTGATCCACTACCATTCCCCTTTCTCCTCACTTCGCTCCTATTTTCCAGCATTCTAGTTTTGCTTGCTCTAATATTTGTAAGGTACACAGGGCAAAATGAAAGCTTTTCCAGTTTGTCCTCCAAACAGCCAGTTTATAGCTACACAACTTAATCCAAAACATCCTTTTTAAAAAGCCTTCATTGAGTTGCTGATGTCTGTACCACTGGGGGTGGGATGAATATTCAGCTGAAAAAGTGCATTCAGAACTATCTGGGGGAGTATGCATTTCATTTTTATCTGTTTGAAAAGAAAGTAACTGAAATATGACTAACTTCCAACTGGGAATTCACACACTTGAATAAGAACAGCCAGATGCTTGGGACCTTCACACTCCAAACCCAAATCAATTTTTTCTTTCTGCCAACAATATCAAAGGACTGGGTAAATTCACCCTAACTGCCAGCAGCTCAACACTACACTAGTTTCCCTAGAAACAGTACAAACTTAACCAAAGGATTTTAACTGTGCCTATGGATTAGAGTCCAACTAACAGTTTTGTAACTCTCAGGATCTCTAAAGGAACACTGAGCCTGTATAAATTGGGCAGTTCTAGGGAAGGGGAGCCAATTAAGTACTATCTTTGCATTAATTAGCAGATGAATTGAAGCCTTCCAGAAAACAAAGAACCTATAGGCTTCCCTTTTTTATACAGTCCTCTTTTGCTTCAAGAGGAGGAAGGGATCACAAGGTCAGGTTCCCAACCACTTTATTTAGGATACTACATCTCTGAAAGAACAGAAAAAAAAAGTGTTTTCAAGCACAATCTCTGGAAGATTTTGTTCATCCTTCACACGGGAGTACCTTCACTTCTTAGCTATTTTTCAAACAACTGGGCTTTCCTTTTCAACAACTGAATAGGCTCAGATAATAACAAGTTCCCATTGCTTAGAGACAGAGTTGGTAGTTAGAGAAAATGAACTTTTTAACCAAAAAGCTTTGGAAAGAGTTCTGAAACCTTGAGTACTTGGTGTAAATTTAAAACATTTCAGGTTATAATGATAATGTTGATAACAATAGAGAAAATTTTCTGAGCATTAGCATATAGGAAGCAATATTCTAAGTGTTTAACCTATACTTATTTACTAAATCTCCACAACTCCATGATGTAGTTACTATTATTCCTATTTTATATTTGTAAAAATCAGGCACAGAGAGCCTAAGTAACCTACTCAAACTCACATAGCTAGCAATTACTATATTGAGACTGATAATTTCTGAACTAATAATCATAATCACATCTTCTGTTGATAGAGTAAACAGAACTCCATGCAAATCATCTTGTTTATGAGCAAATATAAGGATTCTACCTTTTGTAATACAATCTGCTCACTAGAAATTGATAAATCTCACAAATAGAATGTGTGTCTTTTAACCTATTCAAAGGTATGAAAATCTCTGGATCAATTAATATTTGACCTAAAGTTATAAGCTGACTCTCAAATACCTGGGGGGAAAGTGATTTACCTAAGACAACAACATTAATAAATAGCACAACCAAATCAAAATACAAGTGTTTGGGAATTATGTTATTATACATCTAAAGTCTATTTTGATAAAATATTTATTGGAAACCCATGAGCAACAACTAAAAGAAAATCTGTTAAAAGTATAGTTAAAAATCCTTAAAGAATGAAAACTTTTCCTACAAAATCATCACTAGAGACAATGAGAGGAGCACAGGACAAAAGTACTCATGAAATATGTACAAACTAAAAAGCAAAATGGCATGCAAAATAATAATAATAATAATAATAATAATAACAACATTAACTATAACTGATAGTACAATTGAACCAAAAGGCACAAATTGTAAGACTGATTTTAAAAATAAGATCTGAGGCTGTGGTATATCTCAGTGGCAGAGTGCTTGTCTTGCAAGCAAGCAAGGCACTGGGTTCCAGACTCCCCTCCACACATATATACACACAGAAAACAAAAACAATGAAAAATATCCAACTGTATGCTATCTGTAGACACAATTGAATTTCAATTCAAAGACAACTTTTCAAATAGACTGAAAGTAAAAAGACATAAAAAATTACCATAAAACAATAACCAAAAACAGGAGTTGGAACCAGGCATGGTGTCACACACCTATAATTCCAGTGACTCAAGAGGCTGAGGCAGGAGGATTTCAAGTTCAAAGCCAGCCTCATCAACTTAGCAAGGCCCTAAGCCTTTGAGACTCCATCTCAAA